ACCTCCCCATCTAAATATCAGATGCTTCCCCAAACGCTCTCCAAGATTGAAATATCATCCAGCACACGGATCTTGGACCGAGTCACAATTTGCCCCCCTTCCCTATTCCTTGTCATGAAGCCGCTCTTTACTATTCTCGTTGGCCTGGCTGCTCTAGGCCTCGCGAACCCAGTTTCTCCTGACTCGGGTGATCCCGACCTTGATTGCATGCACGCTGAGCAGAGGTGGGAAGATGGCGTTCCGAGCTGCACAGGTTTTACATTTATTCATCTTAAAGTGTTGGCTCTTATACGGGTAATCTACAAAGTGATTTTCTGCCAAAAACTTTGACGGCGACTATTTCAACTGGATCGGAAGGTCCACGGCCTTATTACGGTTATGTAAGTCAGTGGGATACCCGGGACCTTTACGGGAGTCGGGCGCTATGCTGGCAAGTATACCCCGATGAGCGGTGACTTGGCTCTTCTTGAGAGCTCTTCCGAGAGTAGCGTGGATATTGCTCCTGGTTTTGATGCATCTCGCGTGGTGGTTGGGTTAGCACAGCGTCAATATTCCTCTGCTGGTTACCAATCAGGGCTCGGTTTCCCATACACCGATTCATTGGATTCCGTACAGGGAAACGGTGCGTATGGGACTGTTCTGGATGATGTTCTTTGGAGAAAACTACTTTTGGATCTTATAGATGCCCCTGTCGAAACGTATTGCGGCGAATGGCCAAAACAAATATTGCGTGATGAGATGCTGCCGGTTAGTCTACGTTGTTTGTTTTCTCCCCACCCGCGGCAGCTGTCGAGAATCCAACATACGCGGTGGTAGATGTCGCAGTCAATTGTAAAAGGGGATGATGTGTGTTCATTTGGTTCCATCAATGTCTCTGGAGCGTCATTTTCAGACATCCTCTTTCTTTGGAATCGCTTCTGGCCTGAAGATGGATAGTCGTATGTTGTTCTATTCGCATAACTAGAATGTGTCCTGGTCTGTTCATCTGTATGGTTGAATCCGTACATGTAAATAGTAACTTCCTACAATGGAAGAGCCGACTGATCTATTTGTCGCTTTTATACATTCTTAACCCCATCTCTATTTACATTTTACCCTAGAATTTTCTGTCCAAATAAACTCCACAATGCTACCGTGATTGCTCGGATGCAAACCGTTCTACTGGCCGTTAACAGTAGACATTCACAAAAGCCAAGGTTGTGAATGTGAGCATAAGTGATATGATGCTGATAGGTCTTTTGGGGGGCTTTTTTTTTTGTGAGTGTGTGTGCGTGTTTTGATGTGTTTCAAGGCCTTAATCTTCCTGTATGCTCCCTGTGATTAAAAAAAACCACTCAAATATGGTGGATGAGAAAATATCCCGTAACGAACCAAGTAGATCGTCCGAGCTTGGAATCGATCCAATAACTTGACGAATAGAACGTCTCGTAGAATGAAATGTACGGTACTTGGAACATCATCGTCTCGTATCAGCCCCTCCACGTTTGTTTGAACTGGACTCTGCTCCCTGATTCTTCGACTCCGAATCATTCAGGTCATGGGCAATGTCTTCTTTGCTCAGGTTTTGGAGGATAGAGCGAGACTTGTTCTAGTTTGCCGGTTTCTTTCGTCGCTTCTCGGCCTCAATAAGGTGCTCCAAATGCTGGCGATAACCTTCATCACACACGATTCTTCGTACATCCTCAGGGGCAGATGGAATCGTAGTTCTGAATGGAGACGGTCTGCTGTCCTTGGGATGCCTCAATTTGAAGTAGTCGGGCATTCACACTGGCAAGACGCTCTTCGAGCCTTTGGTATGACACTTGGGTGAGAAGGTCATCAGCTGGAGTAATCTGTCCACTGCCTGTGTTGCTGCCACCGGCTTCTTCCGACGAAGCTGCGACCCTGGGCCTCTTACGGGATGAAAGACGATGCCTTTTGGGTTGAGTAAGCCTCTTGGGTAGAGTCCCAACTTGGGGGGTCTTGGCCTTCCTCGAAGCTATGTTTTGTTCCATTGGCGTTAGTACACTTTGGTTGTCTTGTCGGCTGGCCTGTAACAGTCGGTCGTAAGTAAGAGAGAGTCCTCCGGCTTTCAGACTGTTCACAGTCGTCCGCCACGGCCACCTGAGCTTGTTTGTTTCACCCCAACGTTCGACTATAAGTTCAAAGTTAGCCAAGTCAAGAAAGCGCATAACGCTCTTTCAAGGTACCAAGAGTACTGACAGTATTTTTCCCAGGTTAGTTTATCCACGAAAAACTCAAACTCCTCATGATAAACTGCATTAAATCCGTGGTGGATATACATCTCGCCGGTGCGCCTCTCTGCGGCCCTGCGAAATTCGAGCATGCTTCGCTCTCCCCTTCCCCCGAGAAGGAAGATGCAATAAGCATCCATCATGGGCCGTCTATAGACTGTCAAGCTACCATCAACATCATCCAGATTACCAGAAAAGTAGTGATCTCCACACTTGACAGACTCCTTCCACGACCGGCCGACTCCATCCTCGTCAGGCGACCATGGAGGGAGCATTGCCATTTTCGCACAAGGGGGCACTGATAACCTTTCCTTAAAGTCCTCGGCTGGCTTGATTTTGCAGTGTTGGATTGTTGAACAGAATGGTCCGAGAAGATGGAAGCGTCAAGAGAAACAGGCCTCAAAGAGCTGGGTTTTAACAGTCATTGAATATAGCCAGCTGACATGCAATAAACGCAGCTGACAGCTTCGCCAGCTGGCAGACAGATTTCGCCGGCCATGAGATTGGGATTACCACGACAAATCTATCATCCCCAAGCCTTCTCCTTTTATTTTGTTTTGGCATTGATTTATGCAAGCCCGCAGTGGTCGCCAAAAGGATGCAAGATAGTGGCTTGTCAATTACCGAGCAAGTCCAACAGTGAGAGCATTCTGGGGTATCTTTCTCACTTCAATGTGCAGAAAAAGAATCCAAAACTTCAGGGTGGCTAGCCTTTGCCCAGCAAGCTCAGCATGTGCGTCCAAGGTACTATGTAACTATCATGGGAAGTCGTCATGACAGAATTCGCCGGAAATCTCCGATCTAGGCTGTTGCACCACGTTCAATTTCTGTGGTGCCGGTGGACATGTTACATCATCCTTACGGTCTCGTTTTGCCGGCACTGCGTCCATCGATATCATTGGCGTCAAGCTTCCGTCCATCACACCGTGCTAAAATGTTGGCAAGCACAGTATTGAATCGCTGAATACGCTGTACCTTGATGGTTACTGGTTGATGCCTCGTGTCCCAGCTGCTGAACTTTGATCTCGAGTCATGCCCCGCTCACTTGTCGTACGTGCAATTGAAACCAGGTTCTCGAGAGCTCTTGGAAGTGTAACACTGGCAGCAGCGGGTTAGCATCTCTCGGTTCCTCCTCGCAACTTGAAGCCAGACGCGGAGAGGACACCCCTCAAACCCCTCCTCTGTCTGACCCTTTTGGCAGAACTACATCATTTCATTCCAACCACAGATTTTCTTTTTCTTTCTGCAGCTTGACTTTTGGACCCTTCGCTATCAAGAGCAGACCAATAAGTAACTACAGGACATACTCCCGGTTTAGCCGGCCAATGGGCCCAGCGACGCCAATCAAGTGGACCACAGAGGGGGTTTGCCCATGGTGAGCAGGTACCTATGTAATACTTAGCATTTGTGTCCCATTGACACCAGAGTGTCATGTATCGCCATCAAACAGGAGCTGTTCGTGAAGTAAAACGGTTTATGCATGGGCGCCTGTAAGGTATTTCAATATCGCACCTTGTCAAGGCTCGCAGTAGTCTTGTCCTGCAACATGCCACGTTTGTCGGCTGCTGATGCTGCTTGGTACAATTTGCATATTCATCGGCGGCATCAGTGTACGGCCCAATCTTCCTGCGTAGCATGTTCCAATTGTCGCGCAATCTGGGATGCCTGGACTCGGTCAGCTTCCTGGAAACATGGGGATGGCATGGCAAGGGGCATATTATGGTGTCGACATCTTGTTGGGTTGGTTGGCTATTGCTGATGGTTGGTGGATGAGAGATATTTGGAGGCCTTTTCTGAGTTTAACTGGTTCCTACCGAAGCTCCCCACCTACCACCAACCCACCAATAGTTACCCCGCCAAGGCAGGGTAGCTCCTTCCTCCTTTCCAAGATAGGGAGCATCAGTAATTTCTCTGTCGAGATGACGAGGAACCATTGCGTCTTCCCAACCCCCCTCATCCAAGTTCTAGTCGCTGATCTGCCCGCCACAAGCTTGACATCATTTTATGTTACTGAGCGAGTGAGATGGCGGTGCCGAGGCGACAGACGCCATAATGAGTCTTGGATGAAGGAACGCCGATGGGAGGACGCGGCGCCCGAGGTATGAAGTACATTTCCTGGCACGGCCCTGGCACGGAGAAAATCTGGGTTCAAATACCACAATCATAGAAGCTGCCTCTAATAATATGAAGTTAGAAGTACCAAAAATATGCTCTCTGGTCTCCATGGGGTAGAAGGTACCGCCAAGTCACTAAGTACTCCGTACACGGATAGGTACTCCGTATCTGTGCCGGCTTCAACTCCAAAGCTCCTTGCTGCAGGCGGGGCTACCCATATGTGGGACTGGTCCATGAATACGGCCTTGCCGTGGACAAGCTGAAGCACCATTCAGCTGAACCAGGCCATGGTTACTTGTTTCGGCGCCCACGATGGCTGTGAGCCCGAAAGGGTCCCGAGGGAGGGGATCTGTGGGCGTGGCGTAGCAACATGGGGCTGTCGAGAGTTGCGCATTCGTCGATCCAGGAGCTCAAGATCGGACTCGACCTAGCTTGCGTTCGCTTTGCATACCTGGAGATGTGGATGAGTGACAAGAGGCGGATATGATGCAAGACGTGGGTGTGTCTCTCACATGTCCCCGTATATAAAGTCTAATACCCAGCAGCTCGCTCTTTATGACAATCCTGAAAACCCTCGCTCCTCACCAACTGTATACTCCACACTTCGCAGCTAGCCTACACATACAAACAGACTTATACATCCCTTTCACCATGTCTTACCGCGACAACGACAACGTAAGTCATCACCTCTGGCTCCCAGCAAACGGGCTCCCTCGAGGCTTTACATCAAAAGATACCCCGCTTCATTCTGTCATGCTAACATGGCAAATTCTCTCAGTCCAGCTACGGCGGCAACAATGACAGCTACGTAAGTTAAGGAGAAAAAAAGAACTCTCCCTTGCAGACGAACGCAAGCTTTACAGTCGTTGCTAACAAGTCATCTACAGGGCTCGTCTAACCGCCGTGACAATGACAGCTATGGCTCTAGCGGCAACACCGATAGTTATGGCTCTGGTAACAACCAGTCTTCCTATGGCTCCTCTGGCCGCAGTGGCCGTGACAATGACAAAAGCTATGGCTCATCTGGGAACGATAGCTATGGTTCATCTGGCCGCAGCGGCCGTGATAACGACAACAGCTTTGGCTCATCTGGAAATGACAGCTACGGCTCGTCTGGACGTACCGGGGGCAGTGACTCGTATGGTTTCTCCGGCAATAAGTCTTCGTCTTACGGTTCCTCTGGAAATGACAGCTATGGCTCTTCTGGCCGTACCGGAGGCAGTGACTCGTACGGTTCATCTGGCAACAAGTCTTCGTCTTACGGTTCCTCTGGAAACGATAGCTACGGCTCATCTGGCCGCAGCGGCCGTGATAACGACAACAGCTTTGGCTCGTCTGGAAATGATAGTTACGGTTCATCTGGCCGCAGTGGTCGTGATAACGATGACAGCTATGGCTCCTCTGGCCGCACTGGAGGCAGTGACTCGTACGGCTCATCTGGCAACAAGTCTTCGTCCTACGGTTCCTCCGGAAACGACAGCTACGGCTCCGGCAACAAGTCGTCGTCCTATGGCTCTAGCGACAACACCGACAGCTACGGCTCCAGCGGCCGTGACAACAGCAGCAGCACCGGCAGCAAGGTCGGCCAGTTCCTCGAGAAGGCCAGTGACGTCCTCGGCGGCGGCAACAAGGGCCGTTCCAACCAGGGCCGTGACGACGACTACTAAGCCATTTTATACGAAGGGTCTCTTGGGTCAAGGTGGAACTTTTGTGATTATGCAGCGATTGAGAATCAATTGACGATTTCTTATTTTTTTCCCGTCCCGAGAATGAGAGACTTGTGGTATTTGTTAAATAGTTTTTCCAGAGATTCGTGTCTCAATGCTTCGGCTCTAAATTGACACTTGTTATTTGTGCCGTCTGGCGGACCTGCAGTGACGTGACGCCTGGTGCTACGCGAACAGTCGTATTCCAGTCAGCCTTCCATTAAAGCGCATGCTGCACAGCAACTCTGCTGATCTGGTGCGATTCCAACCCAATTGTGAAAAAAAGCCATGTCGCGAAAACCCATCGTTCTCCTCGGCGATAAATCAATCCACATCCGACGCGCGGTGGGCTTCGGACATGAAGTATATCAACATGCTATCATAATTGCTATTCATGGTCCCAACAATGCTCGACACCAAACCCAGCACCACGCCCCATGAGGAAAGAGGAAAGGGAAAAAAAAACATGATACGCCCACGCCAATGCAGATACGTCATTCATGCACCTTCTTCCCCGTCTGGCTTCTCCTCCATCAGCGTCTTTTCCACCCTGACGAGAATCGTACCATTCGTCAAGTGCCCCTTGGAATCTATCAAATGGATGAATCTATACCCCTGTCCCAGACGGTCCAGGCGTACGCACGCCCAAGCCGCAAGATCATCCCTCCCCAGCTCATCATCTCGCACCGTGAAGCGCACAAACGTCAACTCCTCTACTAGCCCGCCAATGCCGTTAAACGAGACTTGCTGCCTGCCGAGATCAACGTCGGTCCCCTTGTGGGTCTTTGTGCGCGCCTTATGCCGGACATCAGTGTCCAGGCTTTCGGACGAACCTGGGCGGCCGTGGGCCTGGGCGTTACACGCGTCGACGTGCAGCTCTGTCTTGACGTAGGGGTGGAATTTCTTGTCGGATTTGTCGCCGTGGGGGAGGGGGATGGACTGGGCGGCGAGGAAGGTGAGTGATAGACTTAGCGTCTTGTATGTGATTTTGTTAGGGGTGGGTTTGGACTCCAAGTTGGGACGATAGCCTTGTGTGGATGTTAGCAGAGCTGGGGAGGACGGAAAAGGAGGGGAGTTTGATGTGTTTTACCTTCGGGCTTGAGCACGTATCCGCGTGTTCCAGCAAACATGCCCTCGTTGAGCATCATGCCCTCGTCCGTTTGCTGCCAGTTCAAAGCAACAACTTGGGCTCCTGATCCCCAGAATACAGTGGGCATCATGTTTGATGACGTGATGCGGAGCCCAGAAGGGTAAGCCCGCAGGAGATAGTCTCTGTTGTGGTCAAAGAGCGCTTGGGCGTGCTTCTCGCGATGTTCCATGAACTTCTTTTCGGACAGGGAGAAGATGTGTGTCGGCATGCTGGCCTCGGGCTGTGTCCACGTCTTGAACGAAACAGCTCGGGTGTAGATGCCCAACTTGCTCAGTGCTTGTATCACTTTAGATGGCTTCTTGGGCGGCGCTGCTTCAGCGGGCGAGCTGTCGTCCTCGGGGCTGCTGTCGGGCTCTGCTGCAGGCGTGTCTGGCGGTGCGTATTTGACCTTGATGAGGATCTTCCGCTTCAAGTCCTCGGGGCTTGGCAGCAGGCCTGGTTTGATCTCATCCTCGGTGACCAGCATGCCGCTCCAGACTTCCTTCATGATGTTGGCCATCATGACTTGTTGCTCGGCACCGCAGTGGACCTCGAGACTGATAATAAGCGGCAGGTCCGATTCTGCGAAGGCGCTGTCCCGAATGGCATTGCACACATCCCGAAAAGAAACTTCCTTGGTCAGGGTATAGCCATGCAATACACGAGGCTCGACAAGGGCGACCTCTGGCACAATCTTGGAGTCGCCATCGGGCGTTGCACTGTTAGCTGTGTCCGTGTTGTGTTTTCCGGCGTATCTTTGTTCCAGAGTCTTGGCCAAACTGGTCTTTTCCAGCTTGGACGTCAGGCTATCCGGTATCCTCTGCCTCAGCTTGTCAAATGTGCCGTGGCGTTTCGATTTGTTTGGCCCAGTTTCATCGTCGGCCCTTTCATCAGCCGAACTCTCGGCAGAGCTGGCAGACAAGTCTGACCCGTCGCCGTCCCAAACGTCAATCTCAACGCAGCGACAGCCCCTCAAGAGCACATTGGTGTAGGCGTCGGTTGTGCTATCGCTGTACAGTTGGTTCCCTGACAGGTATGTGTTGTGGCTGGAACTGATAAAGTAGCTGGAAAGAGGCCAGGACAGGTCGCTTTGGTTCCAGGGCTCTGTTATATTGCTGTCTTCAGAAGTCATGTACTGCAGGAATGCGTTCAGGTCGACGTCTGTGCTATGTAGCAATTTGGCGGCTGCCGTGGTCTCGACGCTGTTTTTCTGGACATGTTGAATAAAGCGCGCAATCTGAACAGGAGTCCATTTGCCATCTGCATCAGCGTGGGATTCGAAAATGGTCTTCAGGTACGAGATGACGGTGTTGGCGAGTGTCGGTGGCGCTCGCTGGGCTTGACTGGCGCCGCCGCCGGCTTGTTGGAGAGCTACCATGTCGGCTCTGTCTTTCACATTTGTTTCTGGCAGTCAAGTATGTTGTCTCAAAGAGCGAAGAATGTGTAGTGTCGGGGAGGTTGCATGTAGGAGGCTGGGCTGCACCGTTTTGTCTTTCAAGGCTGCTTTGAAGCTGCATGACGGACAGGCGGCCCTGAGTCGAGTCCTCCAAGTGGGATTGACGGGTGGGTGAGACAGCTGGCCTCCAAGGCGGTTGTTCAGGAACCCACAAGGGGCTAAAACAAAGCCGTCAATGTTAGACGCCGTTCTTCAGGGGTCTTTGACGCAGCTCAGCTTAATTTCACGTGGACCCAAGCCATGGAACCACACTGAACGCACGAGCACTGTTGGTATTGACTTGATTGCACACCGTCACTTCTTGCCCATACCAGCTTGAGATGGCTCATACCCCGCTGCACCCTCAGATTCGTTGTGGCCAGAGCTCGTTTGCATGGGAAGGAGCGATCAGTTAGTTGACTGCAGAGAATCACGCGCACTGGGAAGGAGGAGGGGCTGCCATCAATGGCACAGACGGGCAGCTGTGAATGGCAATGGAAGCCCGTGTGTGAAGAGACCAAGTCGAACCGGACTTCAATGTTCCTTTCGCTCTTGTTCAAAGCACCATGCTGCATTTTCCCCCTTGTTCCGATTCTTTGCATCCAGGCCAGGTGAGTGGCTCCAAGGGGAAATGTACGAGGGACGAGATCTCCAGAAAACAAGTCATTCACCACCAAGCAAAGGACGGATTCATTAACGCCTTTGACACAAATCCGTACTTGATAGATTATCCTTTTAACGAAATCAATCTGCGCCGCCACCAAAAACTGACATAATGCTACTCTGTCTCCGTCTCCGTCTCCGTCGATTCACTTAATTGCTCGTCCATCCACAGCGCCGCCACCAGAGTCAAGCACGCCCGACGAACAAAGTCCCTGCCCTCTCCGAGTTCACCCTCGATAGTCAGGGTACCATCGCGAAATTCTGCTCCGATGTACTTGTCGTAAAAGTGGTATCCTCCAAAAATTCTACCCACGCACTCCGCAGGTAACAGTCTCCATCCGTCGGGGTCAGACTTGGGGTCACGCCAATAAAAGTATTCGGTCTCGGTACGGAGTAGTAGTAGTATCTCTTTTACCCCGGATCCATCTTAGAACCTTGACAAGAAACCCAAGGAGCCCATGTTGATCTTTTCTCAATCTAGAGTCCATCTCCCAGGAGTAATTTCCCGCTTGGCTTTTTGTCATTTCGACAATGTTGCGTTCTGGGCGCCTGTCCCCCGCCTTCCGAGTAGACGTCCTGAATATGCACCTGGAAATTTTACGGCCTCTCAAGTGCCCAGACGGTTTGGTCTTGGAGTTCGTTCCGGGATAGCGCATCGTAAAGCTGGCGTTTTCATGGTCTGATTGTTTCTCCGATCACGTACGCGATGTCGTCCTTCTTTTTGGTGTTATTCAATCCGGGGATCCGCCAATAATACACCGTCTCTGATTTGATCTTTTGGATTTCGAGATTTAGGCCCTGTGAGAGTTTCATCTCGGTTGCGTGCGAGTACAGCCGCTGGGCTCTTGAGAAAAGTTTAATGTGAGAAGTGAAACATCTAGAATGCGCCGTCACTCAGCAGCAGGGCTTGCTCCCGCACCAGGGTTCTTGCATCTGGATTGCAAGAACAAGAACCAAATTGGGATACATTTTGAACACAAGAGGTCGGTTTCAGTGTGTGAATGCCTGCTTCTCATACATCAAAGTGCCAGCCGCCGTCCAACTCCTTCTCAAACAAATACAACAATCCTTTTATCAGATGAGGCCGGCGTAGTGACAAATCCAGCTTCCCCAGTTGCTGGGTCGGAACAAAGGCCTCATTTCTGCTCAGTCACATTTGTTCTGTGATTCAATACCTGATGAGCACTTTAAAGGGACACACGTATTTCCAAACACAAAATTGTCTATTGATACATCAATACATTGACGCATCGAATAAAGCTTGAAATATCTGAAAAACAAACGACAATGAAATTCAACACGGGCAAATCTCCTCCGTAACCAAGTGCTTCACCACCTCTGCCCCATATGTTACGCGCCCCGGAATACGAGGCGTATAGGGCTCGATGCACGCATCGTCAGAATCGACACGTTGCGAAGCGCTATTGTAACCGCCACAAGGAGAATTTCAGAACGCTTATAAAGCATTACATGTGATGTGGAATAGTCAATGTTAAATCAAACTATCCTGGTGCTGGTTTTGTTGTTTCGGCGCCGGTCTCGCCCCCGTCACATGGCTGGTATGGGAACACACCAAAGAGTGAGGATTCGCCTCTTAGAATGTACTATAGTATGTTAGTATATACCTCTTGGTGGGCCAATATATTCTGCCATGGATTGCAGCTCAATCAAGGCTTTGCATCAATAATACAGAAATCCGTATCATGAATACCGAGGGGCTTAGCTTACATGTGACACCCATCTAGTGCTGGCCACTCAATCTCTGACGACGGAGAGTCTTGAAAACTTTCTCATTCAGCCTTCCGCGTTCAGATTTATGACCTTGAGCTTCTAGGATCTCTCTTAAATCGTGGCCGTCGTGCCACATTCGTGCGACTGCGGTAAGGTCCGGGTGGAGTGGTGCTCTGCACAATTTAGCCCAAGGAACTGTGTCTCCCCATGGCAGCCCGGCCGTATTGCCTTGTCCCAACAATAACCAGATGTATTTTTGGAACCCGTAAGAAAAGGCTCGGCTCCGTACTCCGTAGACTTCACTTAATTTGTCAGCCAGCTTTGCGTGATTGACATGCGTCTGGACCGCACGTATTCTCATGGCTGCTTGTAGCCAGTACACTTCGGCTTCGTGATCTCTTGTTATCGGCTCGTCTGGATGGCGATCTTTTCGATTGTTCAAGTGCTTCTGCACATCAAGAGGGAGGAGATTGTGCTTGGCTGCGGGGCGCGTGGATGAGCCACCTTCTTCCTTTTGCCCCTGCATTCCCTCCAAGGCAGATAGTAGGCAGTCTAATTTTGATGAAATGACTTGAGCTTGTTCAAGTGTAATGCTCGATATTGATGGAAGAGGCTGTTGTGGCATCGGACATAGCGGCTCTGGCGTCAAGACGTCCCACAGCACGCTGATCGCATCGTCGAGAACTGACATGTGGGGGTGGGATGCTTTGAATTCCTGTCGCTTCCTAGCCAGCTCATCAGACGGCCTCTCAGGCTGCTTATCCGAGCTCATATCGAAAAAGATGGCTTTTCCCCCGTCGGAACGCCAAGGTCTGGGGCTGCAGGATGGGCGAGCAACGCTCGACTATTTATACCCGTGGCTATGTGCCCAACGCTAGAAAGCCCCGACTTGCTGCTTCTTGGTTTTGTATCTGTGCAGAAAAGAAAATGTCTTTATATAAACTGCCCAAAGCATGGATGAAGCATGCACTTGCAAGTGTATGTAACTCTCATGCTTGGGATGAGATGCGGTCCTGATTGAGCCTTGTTCCATGCCCAATTACTGCTCACTACTTGCTAGGCATCGTTTTGCGGTCAACAGAGCATGCATCGCTGATGAACAGCCGCCTCTCACACATTCCTCTTATAGGAACGCATTCACACTGTCAAGGGCCCAAAGGGTATACTTTCTGAACAAAGCCGCGCCAGAGGCCGAAGAGGCGCGAACAAACCAAGTGCTGATATGGAGTCTGCTGGTTTTGCTTCTTTACTGGGAGGCCCAGCGCCGCTTCGCCACCATAAACACGACGTAATATCCCGTAATTAATCTAGATAAGCTTGATTTACTACTATTAGTCTGATGGGCTGACGGTTCCTTAGTACCCGTCTCAACACGCAGCCTCTGCATTGCGTAGAGTACTTATAAGCTAACTTTACACGAAAAATAAGGAGTAAGAAATCCTAGTTTGGTTATGACCGCATAATTGAAGTCTAGAAAGCGCGACAAGAGACAAGCTACAAGATGGAGCCTTGCGGCAATGGCGCCGCCTTGAGGAAGCTTGAGTACGACAGACTCTAGCGCGGCAACATTGAGATCGAGAACGGCAAATAGTTGCTAGCGGCCGTGCAGAGCCACTCTAATGCAATGCGACACATTTCACTGGCGGCGCCGATGAACACAGTGGGTTTAGATTTGGACATGTTGCTCGATGAGGAAGCTAGCTGATGGGAGGAGGTTTGCAATACAAATGACAAGGTAGCATACTCCGTACAATGTCAGAGACAGGGACGATTTATGAGATACCCCCCTAAATCTGTCATGCATGTAGTGAAGCATGTGAGATGCATGATCTGAGGCCGCAGGTTTTCTCTCACCCGTAGTGTAAGAGTTGGTGGTGGTTTTGCCGGGCGGCCGGCGCGGGGAACGGCCCCACTGTCCGACTCGGCCCCACAGCCCCGGCTGCTGCGCTAGTCGACTTCCTTAATTCAATGCAGGTGACGTCATCAGAGCCGGATCCCTTGGACATCTTCCTCGGCTTTTCCCCTCGGCAGATGTAAAGCTTGGGTTAATATTGCACTCGAATTGCGGCGTTTATGCTCAGTTTCTTTGTCACTCTACAGCACCCGTCACAAAGAGAAGGTTTGGGGAGACAAAGGCACAAAGGCCCAGTGGGAGAATGTGAAAGCAATTGAGATGTACTAGATTGAACACGTAGATCAAACACCCATTGTTGGAAGGGTACAAGGTATAATAGACGTTTCATCAGACGGGGGATCCTCCATTTTCGGCTCAAAAGCCATCAGTGCTTTCCTCATAGTCCCGGCCAAATGTATATGCCAGCAGCATCCCGATTCCCGACGTTACTCAGTGCCCTTATGAAAGTGGAGGAGCCGGGTCGCCAACATCACGCACGCCACGTATTCGAAGATCCATCCCCGATCACCTTCCATGAACATTGTCTGCTCTACGCTATCAAACCTCCCAAAAACTCTATCTGCAAATACACCATTGCCGTTATATGGCTTCCCCGGCCGTCTCTCGGAAAGCCTCCAGTTCCCACTGCCCCACGGGTCCTGCGCCCAAAGAAGGTACACGGTCGATTTCGGCCGCGGTTGGACAATATTTTTGACTCGACTGGTCCAGATCTTGAATTTATTCGTCTTGTTGGTTTCCAAAGGATATTGCGGCTGGGAGTCTGTTTCGGGCACAGAGAAGATGTCACATTCTATGTCCCCGCTGGACTTGAATGTCGCCTGCAACTTATAATCGTTGGCGTTGTCCTCGTCTTTTTCGATGGGAATGTCAATGAGAATTCTTTTAGACCCCGGCTTATATTCTGCAATCTGGAACTCCACCGACGGCTGGGGAGTCTCGGCCGCGGTTGTCGTATTCAACACCTCGATTGCTAAGGAGCCTGGCTTTTTTCCGGGATCGTAGAAGGACCTCATCACCATATGAACGTCCATCGTGTTCCAAGTGACGTTGTAACCCTGGCTGATCGTCTCCCCTTTGCCGGTTTTCTCCCTGAAGAGTTGAATATTGAATGCGCCAGCCATGGTTGCGGATTGAGCCCGGTGTAAGTGGTAGGTGCAAGTGGTGGCGGAAAGATATTTCCACGGGCATGAGAGTATGCAGGACCTCTCGCCATTTTAAAGACGAGTTGCCGAAAGCACACAGATCGTATGGCACCTATACTTCTTTGATAGAACAATGGCTTCTCGGTTCTCAGGCAGACATAAACACTTCACCTTGGAGCAGTGAACCGGACGTGTTTCGGCAACTCGAATGCCACAAGACACGAACAGCATGAAAGTACCTAGAGCTTTCTAATATAACATAACTTGATATTTACTAGTACTGCCGAAGACCACCCAAGGGGTATCTATGCAAAAAATCCGCCATTCCAAATCATCATGTCGTCATGTAGGACGACCTGGAGCACAAGAGGAGTTATTCACAGCAAAACGAGACGTTGGTTCGCGAGCCACCTTCTTTCACTTCCCATCTATGCCCTGCCTATCTCGCCGCCACTTCTCCACAAACTCCTCCATGTCCAAATGCAGCCTCAGCCCTTTCCCCGTCATGGTGTTATACACGGACCGCAATTCATCAGACTTCATATCCCGTATAAGGCCTCCAAACGCCTCCATCATAATATCCTTTGACCACGGACAGTGCCTCAGCCCCCTATAAAATAGATCCTTCACCTTTGGCCGTAATTCCTTGTGCGCGTAGCTGAAGCGCAGATATGCTATCCACAGTCCAACGTTTGTCTTGCAGACATCGCTCGACAAGGCATGCTCAAACGCCGCCTTTGCAGTATTTGCATTCCCACGCGATATTTCATGTTCAATGGAAAATACCCGACTGCTTAAACAGTCGTGTTGCTTGATGAGGATCTTGTCGTAGAGCAATTGGCGGGTTTCGTCAATGACCCGCAAGCTGGAGTCAGCCCACTCTGTGAGCGAGAGAAAGATGGAGTTTCGGGGAAAGAAGTCGAGAAACCTTGATAGCTGTTCACGGAGATAGGTTCGGCGAAAGGGGCTATATACACTGTTAGCCCGGACATGGGAGAAACGAGACTTGGAGTCAAACTTGCCCTCGAGTTGCATTCAGGTACAGCAGTTGCGCCCCGAATTGGAGTATGCGCTCGTGTGAACGGGTATTTGCGTCCCCGCGCGATTTGAACTCTGCGGTTATGCCCTCGATGGCATTCATAGCAGCGGATATATTACCCTGTGCATCTGATGTCGGCTCGGCATTGCCTCCATCTGTCAGGTATGATAACAAGGTCAGACCCTCGACAAAGACCGCAGCATCATTGGCTCTTCCTTCATTCAAGCACTGATGAATGTTTGCAACAATTTCTTGTCTGGTCTTCAGAATGGATGCCGGTGAAATGCTGCCATGATCCGCCTGGGCTTGACGTAGAGACTTGTCAAAAGCAGAGCACAACCATGTAATAGCTAGCGTCCTGTTCCCTGCTTTCAACTCCTCCCAGCTAAGTGATTTGTGAAGCTGGAATCCTGGGGCGCCGACAGATAGCTAAGACGCAAAGGCTTTAGTAAATGGCCAACTCGTAAAAACGGCTGCACTTACCGATGGCGCTTCCATAGCCGATAGAAGCACTTTCTTCCCGACATCTACATTATCGTTGGCAAATTCTGCCAGGGCGTATGCGTTGTAGAGCTCAGCATTATTCGGATACTTCTTCAATAATGCCTTTGCCGGCTTCTTCACCAGTGGCGGTTCACTAGCGAAGCAAAGTCCAAGATAATAAAGAGCTAGGCTCTCTACTTCTGCTTCGTGAACCAATTGCTTCAATAGGTTTCTCACGAATGCCGTCTCGACGGTAAGGTTCATCAGGGATGAGCCGAAATACTGGAACCAGTCCGCTCGAGCAAAGAGGAGACCAGGGGAGTGTGCTGCATTGAGGACTCTGGAGAATGATGGAGGCTTCCTGCGAACTTCCTCGGGGTCATCTAACAAATTAGCCTGTCGCACAGCTGTACTTGTGACAATAGCGCTCGAAGTGTACTGGTCATCAAAGGCAAGTTCTGCCAGGGGTGTAGATCGAAACAACGGGGGCAATCCACAGAATATCAGAAAGGCGTCAAGGAGCAACTCTCCGGGCTCGCCCTGCAAGAGCCCATCCGGCACCATGAACAGCAAAGGCTCGATATCCGAAATCATGACTACTCGGAATGGGTCATCCTCTGTTCCATCATCCATTGTTCTCGCAGGTAATTTGGCACTTCGAGCCTGGCCCAGCTCATAATGTGCCCACGCTTTGTAGGCATCTCTTGTCGCAATATCCGCGACTGGATTGTCCGTCCGCGGCTCTGGAGCTTCCACCTTCCCACCACTTGATATATAATATTTCCAGCCTTTGGCGTTCTCCTCTCCCAGTCGTGGGACCTCGCTCTCCCAGAAATCTCGAAATGCCTCCACATCAGTTCCAGGGATCTCTGGGCCGCCCCTGAAAAAATTAATCTCCAGCAAAGCTTGCCACGCTGCCACAGCTAGCTCCTTGTATCCAGAGTCATGCATAAATCTTGTTGTCCGCAAAAAAACATATATAGCTTCGTCCCAGTGTTTTTCTTGTGTGCCGGCCCGTGATAGGACAGCGCGCAACCTATCCAGTAGCATTTGCTTGACATCCTCATACTGAAAGGTGGAAATATTAGACATGGCAAAGTCCACATGCGCCCTCCATAGCTCAAAGTTGTTTTCCACTTCTTTCTCAATTTCTGACCACTTCTTTGCAGCAAGCTTGCTCGGCCAGATCTTCATCCCTTCGCGCATAAGACGGACAAGCACAATTTCTCGATCCTCAGCTACAACAGCATTAGAAAGAGCCGATTCAAGCATGTCGACTTTAATCTCAGAGAAACTGTGCGCCGTGTTCGCCGTCGTTCGCTCATCAATTGTCCCGCCTGCCCGCTGCAGGTCATCCTGATGGTCTACCAATTCCATCCAAGCGTCAATATCTCCTGGATGGTCTTTGACCTGCCTGTTCAGTTGAATAGATTTCCACTGAAGCGGGTTATCATGCTCCAGGTCCACTACTTCGTCCTCAGACCCCGAACTGTCGTGGTCAGACTCAAGTACCGCCTTGGCCTTGGCTTTTCCTTCAATAGATCTGTACGATGGACCTTCATCCTCTTCAGATTCCGAACCTCGCTCATCTTGCTTCCTCTTTTTGGAACTCTCAACAGCCAGGAATGCGTCATCCTTATCACAATCCGACGCCCTTGCCCGAAGTCTGATCGGGTCACGCGTCGGACGAAATGATTTGGACCGCAATCCGTCCTTGTCAAAAAATCCCAGTCCTTCGCCTGGGAACCGGAGACTGAATTGGTCCCTTGGGCCGTCGCGATGAATGACAAGTCTACCAGCGGTGCCGAGGACTCTACCGCCCCCATAGCGATGATAGGCTGGGACTTTGGCGCGATCAATACCGTACTTTGATATGAGACGGTCTCCTTTGGTGTCGAAAACGAAAGCCGATGAAGTGGACGAAGTGGTTTTTTCAAGCAGTGCCTTTGGGCCTTGCGCTGGCTCTTGTGGTGGTTCAGCTTGCCTCTCTCGATGTCGGGAGGACCGCTCCTCTCTTCGGCGAGAGTCATTGCTGTGGTGAGAGCGATGACGCTTATCTCGGTGTCTGTCCCTTGATGGACTCTTTTCTCTTTGTTTTCCTCCGCTGCCATCGGCCTTTGTAGGTCTTGCCGGATCCCTGGCTTTGAACGAAGAGAACTTGGGCACGACGAGCTTTGTGTCGCTCTCGCTGTCCGACATGGCTATTAATGCCACGACTGCGGTGCAGACACCTGGCTGAGAACTTGCACTTTCCGCATATACATGAAAGATCAACCCTTAACCAAAGTGCCGATATATATTTGTCTAAATCATTTTTGGCATGTTGAGGGCGTGGCGCGACGTCAAGCAAGCAGACCCACTTCTGCAACCCCAGCTGGGACCAGACACCAAGGAATATGATGATGAGCACTTTCGTCCTCAGCTCCACCCGGACTCGAATTCTCAACATGTCTTCAAATCGCAACATATACTCTTTGTAAATAGAAAGGAGCTTCTTGGCCACCTAGTGCCTGCTGCTCCTCAGCTAGCCCCCCTTCATGGACCACTTCGCAGCACTTACGTCTTCCCCTTGGACACTGATCCCGACTACCCTCGTAATCCTACTCGCATTCTCAATCACAATGGGTCTCTTCTCGGGGAACAAGATGCCCGTCGCGGGAAAGGCAAGTCTATCGTCCAGCTACCACCCTGCTGCTGCCACCAGCTCCTAACCCGTCTCCAGACGGTCCTCATCACAGGCGGATCCGAAGGCATGGGCCTCTCTATCGCACAACAGCTCGCCGCCAAAGGAGCCAACATCATCCTCGTTTCCCGAAGCACCGCCAAGCTCGAAGAAGCTCTCAAAACCGTCAGAGTACGCACCTGCGCCTCGCTCTCTCATTCTTTGCGCGGACCCGCCACGATGAGGACGCAAAAGTCAAAAAACAACATCCGACTGACACTATTATAGGCATCAGCAAAGGACCCCAGCCAACGATTCCACCACATCACCGCCGACGTATCCTCCCCCTCTTATGCGGCACCTCTCGTCGCCGCCGCCACAGCGTGGAACAACAACCAAACACCCGACATCGTCTGGTGCTGCGCGGGCACATCCGCGCCCCAGCTCTTCGCAGAAATGGAAATGGACTCCCTCCGACACCATATGGACGTCAACTTTTACGGAACCGCCGAAATGTCACACGCCATCTTGAGAGCCTGGCTGTCGCCTTCGGCCCCCGTCGCGCCCGAGCCCAAGCATCTCATCATGACTACCTCCGCAGTAGCACTGTACACTATCCCTGGATATGCGCCCTACGCACCCTCGAAATGGGCCCTGAGAGGCCTCGCAGACACCCTCTCGCAGGAAGTCATGATGTATCCGCAGAATGTCAAGGTCCACGTCGTGTATCCCGGGACGATTTTGTCACCGGGATTCGTGCGCGAGGAACAAGTGAAGCCGGAAATTACCAAGATTCTAGAAGCGTCGGACCCGAGGCAGACACCAGACGAAGTCGCCGCAGCGTCAATCAAGGGATTGGAGAATGGCGATTACTTCGTCACGGTGAACTGGCTCGGGAACTTGATGAGGCTGGGCATGCTGGGGGGTTCGTTCAGGAATAACTGGGTTGTTGATACGCTCGGCGCATGGCTGGTTGCCATTATATGGATCTTTGTGCAGCCTGATTTGCATGGGAAGATTAGAGCCTATCGCAAGAAACACGGGCATCCTAGCGCACGCACATGACAAAAAAAGCTTATGGGGCTTGATGGGGGAAGAGTAAAATAAAAACCTTCGCCAGTGGCGGAAAGACGCTGATGCTATTGTATTGAGATACCCTAATATAGTCTATAATTTCGTTCTCAAACGCCGCTCCATTTACCGAATTTGACATATCTCTTGAACATTTCTCGTAATATCGCTCTGCCACTACTATCCATAGTGTCGTTGAGAATCTTTCTTCCTTCGGGTGGCGTAATGTCGAAGATGGAATTCATAGCCTCTTCAAGCGCATCACGTACTTCTGTTGACACGCTCGTTTCGAGCTGCAGTTTGACATAGTGTACCAGAATGAGGTACATGTGTCGGCCGGCAGATCGCTTGGCGGCATCGGTAGCTGAGTCCAGCGAACTGTGGAGCTGCGAACGGGAGACAGCTCCGGCGGTAGGCTCGCAAATCAGGGTGATAAGACGGGCGTACAACTGGGCCTTGGCTTCTTGACTCAAGTTATCTGTTGTTGTGGAGTGCTGTTGACTCTTAATGAGACTCTGGAGCAAGGCCTGCAACGTGCTTAAGAGCAGATGGAAACGCCCTTCAAGCCGCAAACGGTGCTTCTTAATAATTACTTCGACCAGTTTGCAAAGCCAAGGATAGGATGTAGTGCTCTCGTCGGCATTACGGTTTGATGTGAGATCAGATACAGTGCTCAGGGTAATTTCAATGTTCCATTGGCTCATCGACTGCGGCCGTTTCTCTAGAAGAGCTCGCAGGATGCGGCAGATGACGTTGGAATTGGATGGTTTGCGCAGAAGCAAAGAGGTCAGGTCACTGTGGACCATGCTGAGATTGAAACCGTCATCAGTCTGAAGCTGGAAGTCGGATGATTCTGGAAATTTTGTTAGGATGTTGGCCTAGCAATCAGCGAAGCGAATGGACCTACCAATAATTTGATTCGCCAGGTACTCAATGGCGAGCAACTGACCATCCGTATTACAGCCTCCTTTCAGCTCACCCAGCAGTTCTCTCAAGTATGCCAATTTCGACACGCCGTCCATGTTAGTAGACACAGATTCGACAAGCTCCCTGAGCACCACCTCTCGCATACGGTGAGGCACATTTTTCAGCTCGTCAAAAGTGGTTGGATGCGATATCTCAAGCTTGCCTGACAAGTACGCGCGGAGAAATGTTTGAATCTTCCATGCTCGCAAATCGCCATCCTGCATCGCCTGTTTAGTTCTTTTTTCTAGTTTTCTTATGGAAGATGACTTGAAGTCGTTTTTATCAGGGAACTCCGTGGCTGCAGCGGCATTCACAGCGGCCATAATGCTCATATCGATGGGCAGACTAGAGCGCTCCAGTAACTTCTTTTCCGAGACACACAATTTGATGACTTTCGTGATGCATTTCGATAAACCGTGTCGTGTCATGGTCAATAAAAGCGTAGAATCCGGGTTTGATTTGGTGTTTACAGATTGAGCAAGCTCAGTACCGAGGGATTTGAGTAGAGTTATGTGAAGGGCTGGCAAGTCAAGCTTATAGTCACTACTCCCATCAGCTTGCTTCTCGCAATTCGACACGAATGTAGTTGCTTCGCGGAAGTACTTGGTACTTCGCTCATCGACGTGGCCTGCCATTGGCTTTATGACTAAAGATGCCATGTGAGAAAACCTGTCAATGACCTCTAGGATTGTCTCGATGCTGTCTTCCGGTGCCATCGAAAGATGGGACAACGTCTCAGATGCGTCCACTAAGTCTGAGAATCGCATGCCCTCGTGAAAAGTAGGTCGTTTCATAATCTTGCATATCAGGCCTAGTACCAGCTTCCAACTGTTCACATCGTCCTTGGTGGCAGGCTCTGTCATCATCGACTGTCGCTTAGCCAGTATCGTCATGAGCCTTTCTCGCCGATCGCGATCGAAGCAGTCTAAAGGGATACCTGATAGCGCTCTCATCCACATTTGCCCTTTTTCACCTGGCCAGTTCTTCTCCTTTCCAGACTCGTCAAAAGCCGTAAGTAGGCGATCAACTAGACCGTGCACAAGCTTCTTCTCACTGAGATTGGTCTCATTCCGTATCAATGCCGCCCAAAAAGTAGCCAATCCGTCTGTGCTCAATTTGCGCGATGCAAATACTTCACCAAGTGCGGGCGGCAATTCGCTTGTCTTAGACATGTAGAGTTTGTTGAATCGGCTGGAACCGTTCAATAACCAGGCAATGTACTGCTCACATCCATGCTCTTCATTGAATACCGCTTCACTACCCAAGTCAAGCGCCATTAATAATTGGGAACTTTTCAGAACACGGGTAGAGCTCATTTCAACCGCGAGTCTTTTCGTGAATGCTTCAGCCAAGCCTGCAGGCTCTTCGATCCAAGGTCCATCAGGGGACACAGAATCCCAAATCTTGTAGCAGCACCTGGAGGCTTCGTACGCTTCCGCGGACAGAATTGGCGATTTTCCCAAAGCCTTGGTAAGACGCTTTCTCACCGCGGCCCAGATTCCTTGCCTTTCATCTGGAGCCACGCACGAAACAGTCATTGACACAACTCGCCATCGTAAAGCCGTCAAAGAAGTAGAAGCCTTCAAACCATCCACCAAATCGAACAGCTGCCGCCCAATGGCATCGACGTATTGTTCATTGTGCAATGCCTGAGCAACAGTAGATGCGAATAATACAGTCGCTTGGGCATTGGATTTTGATGAATTTTCCTTCACCCATGCAACAACCTCGCTCAGACGCTGAGGAGGCATTTCAGCCTCAATAATGGAAGTAAGCGAGTCCTTTTGAGACCGCTCATGAAGAAAAGTAATCCAAGCTGAGTCTGCATGAAAATTCTGTCTCTCGGCATTCGAAAGTTGCTGAAACCATAACCGCAAGAAGCTTGGCAGGTCTCGATGAGTGCGGAAACCATCTTTAATCGCCCCAATCACTTCCACAATTGCCGTTTTATTGGTCTCGTCCTTGTCTTCTTTGATGATTCTGTCACATATCTCTTTTCGCAACTCAATACCGTCGTCAGATATTTGGAATACATCTGTTTCGCACTGAGCAATCTTTGACACCAAGGACCAGCGGGTACTGTCGTCTTGTAAGGCGTAATCTCGACACACACGACGCAGGTCATCTACTCCAACTGGGGCGGAATTTCTCAATGCTTGCTCCAAAATACTCTCCATGATAATGTTACGATCTTGTCTCTTGGTGATTTCCAGCTCAACGGTCTGAAACGTTTCTTTAATCCACGCAACATTGTCCTTGCGAAGTCCACTGTCGGCTACATCCTTGTATGTGCTCGATGCGATGAAGTACAGCGCAGGAGCGGCCAGGTGAACTGTACCTTGGCATACCTGCAGAGCAGTTGTAAAAGCTTCGAGAGTTCGATGATTGATGAAGGCGCCTCGTGCAGGGAGAGCAAAGTTGCGACGCATGAATGTCCGCATATCCGACGACCATCTCTCTTTCAGGTTATCGCGTACCTGAGCGCAATTTGCAGAAGAAGAAAACGACCCAATATTTGCTAGAATGACTGACGCAGGTCGGAACAAGTACATTGCCACATTCAAGACATCATCCGTGCCCTGGAGATGAAGGTCCCAAACTGATGCAATTGTTTGAATCCAATCGTCGCACCCTTTTATTTGGTCGCACAAGTCGCTGGATAAGAGATTTTCGCATACTTTAAATGCCGGCGCTACAATTGCTGTGGCGTCCGCAGCCGATGTACAGAAGAGAGATTTGATATGTTCTGCTCCAATCTTGTCTCGCGAGAATCTCTCCAAGGTGTTGTCTAAGCGATTTAACAGTGACTTCACTGCAATGAACAGAATCTGAGCCGTCTCCAGGCACCCATTTATGCTTCGCAGAGCGTCGACCGAGTAGGCGATGTGTGTCGAACGCTTTCTTTTAGTCGGAGGAGTTTCTTCAGTAGAGCCAACTGGCTTCGAGACATCTTTTAGCGTCTGTTGCAGAACCGCCATAAATTTCCTGTCCGCGAGCGATTTTGCCAGAGAAAACAACGGGATTCTTTGGAAGACGCAGTCGAGAATCGTCCAAGTGAGAGGGTACCGGCGCAACGTCTCGGCCGCTTCCGAAGTGCCGTTCATGGATTTCAACAGCCACCGTAAGCTGCTTTCTTCTGCAGCATGAAACTGGTTATCCGCTGCCGCAGCTAGGAAGTTCCAAAGCTGCTGAAGGTTTTGACCATTGTCTCCAGGGCCATTTTGGTCCAGACCTCTGACGGTCTTGATGAGGTCCGTGTTATCCTGCCTAGTTAGCACAAACAATTTGTCTCCTAGGGGAAAAAAAAAGCTCTTACCATCATCAGCTGTCAGGGCCATTCAACCCATGCGCCTTTATAATTATAAAACCCAAGGCCGCCAGAATGCTCTGAACATTCAGCGTTGCTCGTGGAAAAAGACCAAGTGCTCTGCCCCACGGTGTCTTTCGCTGCAGCTGCAAGCCAAAATTTCCCAAAATTCTGCCGCCCGATACAAAACCCACATGCCTGGGACAAGTCTTCACCGCCTTCGGGTAACTGAGCCATTGGCCGACTGGTTTTCGTAACAATTGACATCAGAGTATCGCCGACGTCGAAGCTGCCTGTAGCTCCAATCACAGTACATTGGCACAAATTCCGCAAATACGTAAGTCGCCCGAGTCGCCGGTCGATCTCATGACCTCCAGAAATCTCACGCGCCAACACTCAGTCTATTCACCATGCCCGAATCCGCCCCTGCTGCAGCTTCTCCGAGCGCCATTTCCCGACCCGTCAGCGAGGCCCTCCTCAACGAGAAGGTATTTATTTCACAGCAAGCATACGCGATAAGGTGAATCGTAAGATCTAACGTCAAGGCATAGTGGGATCGCTGCCTGTCCAACCTCCTCGTTAAGTCTACCCTTGGTCTCGGTTTCGGTGTCGTCTTTTCTGTCCTCTTGTTTCGACGACGAGCCTGGCCTGCCTTCGTTGGTGCCGGTTTTGGTGCTGGACGAGCCTACGAGGAGTGCAACATCAATTTGAAACTGGCGGC